AGCACCTCAAAAACCAAGAAAGGTCTCAGGCTCCTCCTGCTTCCTCTTCTACTGCTGTCTCGGCCTCTTCCTCCACCTCTGGAGTGACAGTGGCACCTGCATGTGGCAGCAATGCCACCACGTCCGCCACCGTCCCCAAGCATCTCCACACTGTCCCATGGAAGTGTTCAGCTGTCCATCTCCCAAACACTGGAGAGAAAGAGGAAGTACCCCCTACCCACCCGCGATCTCTGGCCCTGAATGCCAGCATTTAAAAATTCCTGGCCTTTAAATGCTGTCATTCCGCTTGGTGGAGACGGACAGTTTTAAAAACCTGATGGCGGTGGCTGTCCCACAGTACGTGGTTCCCAGCCGCCACTACTTTTCTAGGCGAGCCATCCCTTCCCTGCACAACCAATTGGCAGGTAAAATCAGGTGTGCACTGTGCAACGCCAACTGTGGCAAGGTCCACATAACCACTGATACGTGGACCAGTAAGCACGGGCAGGGACGCTATATCTCCCTAACTGCATGTAGTGGATGGCATTGGGCTGTCCTCAAAATTATGTGTGTTCATATGCTTTCTGTTAATTTTTGCCGTATGTATGTATGCTGTATGCAGCATTCAACTGATTGTTCGGTAAAATCACTCCAGTTATTATGCGAGTGAAACTACCGAACAATCAGACCACCCCAGGAATAAGTGTGCCTCCAATTACCGTTCGCAACAATGTTGCAAACGGGTAATTGGCAATCAGTGCAGTGTGTGCTTTGTCCTCTGGGTGGCCGCCATTCGGGAGACGAACACGTGGCGGCGGCCATCTGAAACTACCGAACAGCTGTGTTTTGCCGTCGAGTGTCTGGAACCCAAATCGGACACTCGGCTAGGCAAACACTGCTGAGACCTCCACACTGCCCTAAATTCATGTAGAAACTACCCCGCGAACAAGGGGGTTTATCCGAATCCTCCCCAGTCTCCATAACCCAAGCCGTTCATGCATTTTATTCCCTTTTTCTGTGACCGACCGCAGGGCCAAAACGTATGTAACCCATTTCGGCTGTTACCTCCAGCACGTCGGCGTTTTTTCTACCTCCAGGAATTTCCTGAACCCCTGGTCCGATCTGTGTGGTTTTTGAATATGTCACTTACCCAGATCAGGGCTATCAGGGGATGTAACATTTAAAGGGGTACCCATATGTTTAGGGGTACATCCAGAAAACCAGGGGAACTGTGTCCTGCATAATGGGATTATGAGTCATACTAAGGGGAGGGGATGTGTGGGTGGCAACTCATGTATGATTGGTGTACTGTATAAT